AAGACGTTCGAATACATCAACCGCGTTACTAAACGCTTCCGTTGTCGGTCTACAAGGGTACGTAGACACACTCTCCCCTCTCGTTGCAATGCATCTCCTAGATACATCTTGCATGGTCGTAGGAAATTTCTTGAAATACTGCGTTCCCCAACAGTTAACTAGCGCACACCTACAAGATTCAGTCAAAATACAAATTCAGTTAGCTAGTAGCACCAACAGATAATATTTATCCAAAACAAAAATTCATTTAACTAGTGAACACCAACCTACATGTTTCAGTCAAAACACAAATCCAGTTAGTTAGTGAACACCAACCTACAAGATTTAGTCAGAACAAAAATTTAGTTAACTAGTGAATACCAACATAAGAGACTCAACACAAGATTCAGTCAACACACAAATTCAGTTAAATAGTGAGCATCAACACAAGATTCAGTCAAAACACAAATTCCGTTAACTGGTGAACACCAATTCACCTATAAGATTGAGCTAGATACTTAGCAAGGCAGCAACTGCCAGATTAAGTTACCTACTTAGCAAGGCATCACCTACAAGATTCAGTAGAAATATTAAACAATACAGTTAAACCAAACAAATTCAGTTACAGAGCAAAGTGCTTAGCTTAAACAGGTAGGCAAGGACAAATTACGTGCTTACCACAACTGTAAAATCTCCTCCCATTGTCTATGCCATCAAATGCAACAAATTTCTTGGTCCTAAACTGGTGAAGCTTGCATTTGATGGCCGAATCAGTCACTCCGCCACAAAAGTAAGCACCAACAGTGGTCTCGGGGTTTTCCTACATTGACAAGAAGCATCAACATAGCTTAAATCGGATCTAAAATGGAAAAACCCCAAATAGAAACCCTAACCCTAACTCAAACCCATGAAAACTTATACCCATAAGTACATGTCCATGCCGGTGTAGCTCAAGTCCTCCTTGTTGTTGTCCTCCCCGTGTTTCTAGGAAGACATTTCGAGCCAACGACAATGGAGAGTGGTGTCGACAATTGCCAATGCACTGAATTGGAAAATAAAAATAAAAATTGTAAAATTAGTCAAAATTTGCTAAAACTTCTTGGATACAAGAATGGTATAGTGTAATATTCGTGTGAAAAGTTTCATGAAGGATTGACTTCCATGCTATTATAGACAAAAAAAGAAACAAAATCAACACTATATAGAAGTTACTACTCACACTTTTTGTACTCACAATTGTTTTCGTTCCAGAGATCATGGAAGTCACTCCTCTGCGAAGCTTTTTATACAGGTATAACAACATACCATTCTTTTTTTGAAAATTTTAATACATTTTTAAATATTTTCAATCTTATAAATTATTATTTAAGCAGGTGCAATAGGACCTGATACCCACTTAGAATTTTCGTTGAGCAAAAGTATGATATTCTCTCCCTTCGAAATATTATACGTGCATAGGAAAACTTCCAACACACATTTCAAATATCCGAGGTAGATTTTAGCAAGACTTTGCAACATCTGTCCTCAGTGAGAAGGTAATCAAAGTACCCTTTGAATAGTAAACTTCCTCTCAATCTCTCTGCTTTCACTAGACAAATTTGGCTGGCCAAAAAGTTCCTAAACTCTAAAATCTAGGGATCATAGCCAAAAATCAGGAATATAAACATTACTCCCTCCGTTCCTAAATATAGGGTGTATAGTTTTTGGCACGGAAATTAAAGAACACGCGTGGAGGGAAAATTTCACAAGTTTTGGGCGAGATTACACCTGACTAATTGACATGAGGAAATAGTGGAGCTTGCCTAATATAAGGAAATGCAATCAAATCCCTAAAAAATTATCCAAACGAGTGGTGCAACACAATACACCTTATATTTTGGATTTTTCTCTCAAAAATCTATATACATTATATCAAGGAATGGAGGGAGTACATTAATTTACAATTCCCGATATTTGTGCTAATGTTCATAAGCCAAAATGTCAACTTCAGTCATCCCTTCGGAAACTTGTTGGAGTGCTAAACTCTTTTCTCCACCCACAGAGAAAATCTAATCACTCCAGATGACCTAGCCGATGGGCATGCTTCAACCACCAACACCATCCACTGAACAAGAAAGTGAAGAATAAATCTCCCCTTCTGAGCACAAAGTTAAGAAGATTTTATAGATTGCAAACTCTAAACAAATGCTTTAAGCGCAAGAGATGTCTAGATGGGAATAGCTTGGCTTGTACTACTGAACCACCACCTTTACTTCTTAAGTGGTTAAAAATTCGACACCTAATTTTGAAAGATAGACCCTAAAGATATACCTCAGAAGAGAAGCTAGTCTCCAAACTAAAATACCTATGAAACAACTGAAGGAGGGCAAACCAGAAGGGGAAGAAGGGATCCCTAAAGGCCATGTGGGGAGAATAATATATACTAGAGGATACTCGTGCGTTATAGCGCGAATTGGATGATGAAAATTTGTGTTATAACATGAGAACCAACATTTAAAATGCATATGACTTATTATATTTGATAATGTATAGCTATAATTTTTTTATTGAATATAAGTAGAATAATTAGATGAAAACCATTTTCCCATGCATGGTTGAATTTTTTGGTGGATTTTTTCCCATGCATGATTGCACATTGAGATGGAATTTCCCATTCATAATTGTATGGTGACTTGGTGAGGTGACATGCTTGCATGCTAAGATAGATAAATTAGTGGGGATGACTGTCTTAGGTATATAGGATAAGAAATGCCTAGTTTCACTAAAAAAGACGCATCTGTCTGATGATACGTCTTTTCCATAGTGGGTCATGTTTTCTGTCACCCATGTACATCCCTCACGGTTTTATGATAGAATCAAGATAGTTATACATGTGTTGTTGTCGATGTGTTCCATGACAATAATCACTTTTTCATCATGGTAGTGTCCACTTTCATTCGATGACAAAAATGATCTGTCATGCAAGTGTTTCATCAAGGATAGTCGACACATGGCAGCCACTGTAACATGTCGCCGATAAGCTATCAGATGCGGGTCCGGATCCGATACCCGTTAAAGATGTCGAGCTTGGCGATCCTCCACATGTCAGCTTCTCACTCGTCAACGGAGTCACACGCCATCTTTTCATTGGGACAAGTGTCGCTCATCCAATGGACCACATGCGCATATTAATTATAGACATGTGGCATGCTCCAACAGTGGCCCGTTTTGTTAAAATGGCTGTCCCTGTTGATGGCTACTAGGTCCACCTGACTTAGTAAAATTTTTAGCAGATCTGGCCATGAAAGGCCCTTTAACGGCAATACTTACATACAGCCCATTTACAGTCCGGGTCCACCCAGCCCATTAGGACCTGTGTGAATTTAGCCCATTCGACATGGTTCTAGATATTTTTTACCCATATGTGGCCCGTAGTTCCTATGTTAATATTGGTTTAACATTGGATCTTAATTATTTTTCTAAATCTGACCTCTGGGGCATTTTTCTAGTACTAGTGACGAGCAGGCCGTTCAAGACAGATATTTGGTTATCCGTGGCGAGGTACTAGCGACGAGTCACTCTGCAGGAGTATGAGCCAACGGTCAATTGGATTATTAGTTAGTAGTAAAGAACAATTAGGCCACTGTCACGGGAACAAGGTTTTTTTTAAGCATCAGTACAGACACAAGCGCTTCCTACCCGTATGAGCACCTCCGAAAGACTGAGCCGGCATATCATCTTGAGATTTACGAAGTCATCGTAGACGCCTCGTCGTCGACGGAAATGTCTCCTCCCACTGAAAGCGCGTCGCCGGAAATCCTGAAATAAATTCAGAAATAATGCCAGCATCAGGGTTTGAACCCTGATGGATTGGGGATACCACTGTCCACCTAACCAACTCAATTATAGGTTGATTCGCGGGAACAAGGTTTTGATAATAGTGCCAAGTACTCACATATGTGGTTTAGCTGAGCACCAAACGGAGCAATCGCAACTGGTACTAGGTCGACTCGGCCAGAACACGACACCGTTATAGTTGTATCTATGCTATTTTACAGAACGCTAGCTTTGAAGAATCGGTTTGGAATTTTCCCATATCCGCATCGCGTTTCCCCACGCAAGCTCCGTTGGAGTGACAAATATGTACCATGCCCGTTTGTCCACATCGAATGGTTAAAACCGAGAGAGCCGAGGCAAGCGAAGGTCCCAGCGATGAGGTTAACCCGCTGAAAACGTCGGTACGTATGTACGTGCGTACATGCGCCCGGTTCGTCGCGCAGAAAGTCGTATCCCCCCGACAACGATCTTCCGCCTCGCCCAGCAAAAAACCAGCGTTTAACTTTCCCAGACCGCGACCGCGACGCTCCACGTACGCACACATTTTTTTTAACATCAGTAAAGACATGAGCGTTTATATATACGTGCATATACTCATTCTATGAATGCATACACGCACAACCTATTTTTATGAGCATCTTCAAGAGAAGGAGCTGGCATATTATTTTGAGATTTACAAAATCACCGTAGGCGTCTCGTCATCGACGAAAACGTCTTCTTCCACTCAAACATCGGAAATCCTGAAATAATGTCGAATCTCATTTGAACCCTGATGGGTTAAAAATGCCATTATTTCTCTAACCATCCAACCTTGGTTCGTATATACCCACACGTTGTTACGTACGTTACGAAGAGGCACTACTACTACGTGGTCGCTGGACCAACCGGAGCGAGCCGGGCTGCAACATGACAAGCGGGGTGCAAACAAGCCCGGCATCCATTGGATTCGAGCAGTGGAGATGCCGAATCTCATTGCCTCGCCATCGATCCGTCTCATTACGTCCGCAGATCGGATGTGCGCCACACACGCACCCCTGGGCATCCTCGGGCCGGGCGGGCTATATATACATCCCTTCACCAGGGTACCATTCCAGACCAAATCTTAGCAGCAGTACACCTGCCTAGCTCTGCTCACAGCACTTGACTTGGGTGGCGCCACAGCACACCAACCAAGCTTGATCTTGCTAGATTGCCAGACAACCGCCATGTCTCCCACGATCTCATCTTCGCTCTGCACCGTCGCCGCCCTGTCCGGCCGGCCGGGCCGTCGTGCCGGCCAGCCGGGAGGCAACAAGCGGGCGGTGGCGCAGCCTCTCGCGGCTGCCGCGGTCACGGAGGCGCCGCCGGCGGTCATCGCCCCGCCGCCACGCCCCGTCATCGGCGCTCCGCGGCGCCGCGGTGGGCGCGGCGTGGACGGTGGCCCCGACGAGCTCGTGGCGTGGAAGAGCATCCGGCAGGAGAGGTGGGAGGGCGCGCTGGAAGTGGAGGGCAAGCTCCCTACGTGGCTGGTGGGTGAATTGCTTTGCTTGCACAAATCTATCTATCTATGCATGTTTTTCGTCTTGTTTTCTCTCCCTTCCTAGTAGAAGATTCTTCATTTGTGAACTGACGTACTAACCACAAACATCTTATACTGTCTGCCGGTGGCCCAGGCGAAGGTTAGCCGTGCGTTTTCTCTTCGAGAATGTGAATCTTTTCCGTTACTTCGATTCAAGCCTTGACCGTATGCATGCATGTTTTTTTCTAAAAAAAATGTTTGATAAAAGCATGCATATCTTCCTCTTGCTCACAAAAGCCGAAAAGAAAATCTGGAAGGCATATGCATATAAGCACTTTTAGACCAGGCCACACAGCGTAACACATTCTTTCCATTAACCTAACTGCTTTCATCAAGGTGTCGGCAACGCCAAGCATCCACACTCACAAAAGGCGAATTAAAACAAGCATATATGATACTCTTGTCTCTCTTTTTTGCCAGGAAAGCATATATTATACTCGTATAAGCAATTAACAAAGAAAAGTTTGGGCCAGCCTTGGACACGTCCGTGGCATGCTCATCAGCCTATCGATCTAATAGCTAGCCTAACGAGGAGGGGTATATTGCATAGAGTTGCCAACTTTTATCTCTCACTGTAACTGTCAGTTGGGGAAGCACTTGGCGCGCATCTTTAGTTGTGATCGACAGCGAAGAAGGCCACACCGATGTACTAATTTACACTAGTATAGAACGAATAGAACAGAAGGCCTAGCTAGCGAGCGATAACGAGATGGCATCTCGGCACTCACGATGCATGCTCGCGACCGGGGACGACAACATATATCCCAAGATTCTCTGCTGCTCCACTCTTGAGCGCTCACGACGGCGACAATGGCGTCGCTGTCTCATGATGATAGTTTTGTTGCTTCCTGCAACCTTTTTTTGACGAAGCTAGCTTTGTTCCCCGCAAATTCCAGACAAAGCCTAAAACCTTCCTGTCCCTCCCTCCACTCCCCCAGCGATGAGCTCACTGTGGCATTAGACTGTGTGCGTGCGTGCCACTTGGACAGTGACTTGGAGGAATTAAATCTGCAGATGTATGTTGGAGTATAATACGGTTAGGCTCGTGACTAAGCTGTGATTGTAATCGTCCAGCTAATCATCTTTGCAATCATCTACGATCGATAGCTTAATCTACCTCGACGGATTTGTTCGTTGCGCCGCAATAATTGATCGGGTGTTTATTGTATGCGCTCTGTTGCAGGATGGCACGTACCTGAGGAACGGCCCGGGCCTATGGGACCTCGGGGACTACGGCTTCCGCCACCTGTTCGACGGCTACGCCACGCTGGTGCGCGTCTCGTTCCGCGACGGCCGCGCCGTGGGCGCGCACCGGCAGATCGAGTCGGAGGCCTACAAGGCGGCGCGCCGGCACGGCAAGGTGTGCTACCGCGAGTTCTCCGAGGTGCCCAAGCCGGACAGCTTCAAGTCCTTCGTCGGCCAGCTGGCGAGCCTCTTCTCCGGCAACTCCCTCACCGACAACTCCAACACCGGCGTCGTCCGGCTCGGCGACGGCCGCGTGCTCTGCCTCACGGAGACCGTCAAGGGCTCCATCGTCGTCAACCCGGACACGCTGGACACGGTGAGCAAGTTCGAGTACGAGGACAAGCTGGGCGGCCTCATCCACTCGGCGCACCCCATCGTCACCGACACCGAGTTCTGGACGCTCATCCCGGACCTGATCCGGCCCGGCTACGTGGTGGCGAGGATGGACGCCGGGAGCAACGAGAGGCAGTTCGTGGGCAGGATGGACTGCCGCGGCGGGCCGGCGCCCGGGTGGGTGCACTCCTTCCCCGTCACGGAGAACTACGTGGTCGTGCCGGAGATGCCGCTCCGGTACTGCGCCGCCAACCTCCTCCGCGCCGAGCCCACGCCGCTGTACAAGTTCCAGTGGCACCTCGAGTCCGGGAGCTACATGCACGTCATGTGCAAGGCCAGCGGCAAGATCGTAAGTTCTACTACTACTATATTATACAATCGTTCCGTCGTATACGTACTAGCCATGGCCGTTCGATCTGGGTTTCTGATATATTTTGGGATGAAAATAATTTATTGACCAAAAGGTGGCGAGCGTGGAGGTGCCGCCGTTCGTGACGTTCCACTTCATCAACGCGTACGAGGAGAAGGACGAGGAGGGGCGTGTGACGGCGATCATCGCCGACTGCTGCGAGCACAACGCCGACACCTCCATCCTCGACAACCTCCGTCTCCACAATCTCCGGGCATTTACCGGCGAGGATGTCCTCACCGATGCCAGGTACGTAGATCAGATTATTCCGTCAGAATGCCCCCGCGCGAATCTTGACGCATGGGCTAATACTAAAAGTACATCTGTTTGGTCATGGACGTGCAGGGTGGGGCGGTTCAGGATACCGCTGGACGGCAGCCCGTTCGGCGAGCTGGAGGCGGCGCTGGACCCGGAGGAGCACGGCCGCGGCATGGACATGTGCAGCATCAACCCGGCCCACCTCGGCAAGGAGTACCGCTACGCCTACGCCTGCGGCGCGCGGCGGCCGTGCAACTTCCCCAACACGCTCACCAAGATCGACCTGGTGGAGAAGACGGCCAAGAACTGGCACGAGGAGGGCGCGGTGCCGTCCGAGCCCTACTTCGTGGCGCGCCCCGGCGCCGTCGAGGAAGACGACGGTCAGTTCCTTCTTCTCCTTCTATTTCTGTCCTCGTGCGCGCGCCCATCGTTGTTTGTGTCTGACTTTGGGTTGCCGAATTCTGGTGCAGGCGTGGCGATATCCATGGTGAGCGCCAAGGACGGGTCGGGCTACGCGCTGGTGCTGGACGCCAAGAGCTTCAAGGAGATTGCCCGGGCCAAGTTCCCCTACGGGCTGCCCTACGGCTTGCACTGCTGCTGGGTGCCCAGGGACAAGTAACACAGACCAGCCAGAGAACCAACCGGTGCCATTGTTTCTCTGCTAGCTTCTCGCGTACAGGGTCAGCGAATCCAAGTCGGTGGTCGCTAAAAGAAAGAGAAATGAATTCAGGTCGGTGGTTGCATACGTGGATGTTTGTGTCGCTACAAAGATAGTCAGATCGTTAGTAGTAGTTTTCTGTAGGAAAAAAGGTATACACGTAGTGATGTATAGACAGATGTGTGATGTTGTATACGGGAGGTGAAACTACAGGGAATTGTGTACGTAGCCTGGTCCGATTATCAGTGCTGAAGTAATGCACAACGTGTAATGTGTACATAATTCGTTGCTTAGTGTTGTTTACCAGTATATGTAGTATAGTTAATATTCCATTGGAAATAAAAGGATGTCTTGTTTGGTGTAAGTTCTGTGCTTGAACTCGAGCTTTTTTTCCAGAGAGAAACATCGGCTATATTGATCACTTAACAAAGTTACAAAGAGTCTCCCAGAGCAGAATGAAAAACCACAAAGCTAGACAAATTCTCACAAGATTTAGGTAACAAACAACTCGCGCGCTCCTGCTAGCTGGCGCGAACGGAGCGACGACGCGTTGGGTACTGTATTAAATGCGGCTGTATATATACAACGTCATTACGTACGTTCGCAAACTATGTGCGGAAACGGGGACGTCCAACATAACCGGTAAATATCGGTCCAGGATAGTTATGTTCTGTTGGTACAGGTGCGTAAGTACTGTTCATAGGAAACTTCGTCTGGTGCGTCCGTTACACAAACGCCGCGTGATTACTATAATGTGGGCCATCGTCACGGCCCGACGCTGAGAAGTAAAACCAGATCCGTCTTCTCCCCGGTGGTGCCTGACGGTAGACGAATTTGAAACTACATGGGAGCAGCTGATTGAGACTGCATGTGCGCGTACGAGTTCAGAGATGTCTGCAGCTTAGTCGATCGGGTACTTTGCTGGGCAGGTGTCTTCAAGTTCTGCTTTGATCGCGGTATGTACATATCATCTTTGCTGCTGCTGTTCTGTTGTTCCACCTTCTCATGTTCTAGCAATAAGAATGCACATCTGAATTTTTTTGACTCGTGCATACAGGCTTCAGTTCATGGCAGGGTTGATGGCGTGTCAATGGCGGATGGAGATCTGAAAGAAGAACCTGAAGTCCATATCTCGTCTTTCAGCTTTGGAGGAGGTGGCTACATATGATCCAGAAAACCATATTTTTGCTGACGGTGATGACTCCACAAACGCGAGCAGCTGCTGCGAGTCAACTACCAAAGTCGCTCGTGGATCCACCACCGACGACGATGATGGCGCCACACCAGCTAAGCGGGCATGCCTTGATGAATGAAAAATCTGCGGAATGTGGTAACAGCTGATAAGATGGAGCTACGGCTCCATAAGTAGAAAGACCTGACAAGATTAGCCCACTGTTAGGTTTGCCTGTAATAATAAATGTAGTTTCCGTTTCCACCTTTACCGCTTTAGTACAAAAGTGCAAGCGCAGGCAATGGTATTGTGTTAGGTTTGTATGGAGAACTGAATGTAGGTCCCACCACGCCTAGCTGGATTGTACGGTTTCTGCTTAATGTAGATCACCGTTCGTGAAAATTTAGATCTAGCTTCTGCTTTGCTGATTAACTAAATTATTGAAATATTCGTATAATTAAATTAATATGTTTGAATTGTAATTTTGCAAATATTTGTATTATTTGAAATTATACAAACATTTTTTAGTATATCTAAATTTTGAAATAATAATACATGAACAAATTAAAAGTAGGTTATTTCACTGGTGTTTACAATATTTATAGTACATGAATATTTAAACATTATTTTTATTACTAAGATCATAATTGTATATGGTAAGTCAAGAGCAATATTTAAATGTTTTATTTACTTATCATCGTCTGTATGTATATTTTTAACACACAAATATATGAGTATAACCTACGTTTACCAATTATCTTAAAGAAATTAGCAAGTGCAAAAAAGGTTGCAGTACCTGCAGCCTGTTTAAGGTCCACACACCGCTTGGTTCAATAGATTTTGTTATCCTTCATAGAGAGTACAACGTGAATGGTGTAGTAGTTATAACGACTCGTTTAATAATTTTTGGTTGCATGTTCGAAACCTGGCTTCCACTTTTTTGTGTTAGTTTGCTCTTTTATGAGCAAGTACAGTGATCTGTCTTGTGCACAAATAAAAAAAAGATGACAGGGTTTCATGCCAAAATTCATTGTAGTGTTTGGCTTTTCTAAAAAAAAGGTAATACAAGGGTGTTCTCTGGAAAAAATGCATCGCTCACTCAATGGCAGATGGGTCCATACATACTAATGTGTTTGTATACGTGTATGACTGTATCTGAAGGTTTAGTCAAGTTAGATGACCATAATTCCGTATTTTCAAAGTTCTAGCACTACACTGAACATCCAGCGCAAGTTATGTGACTTTTGGTGATATTACCTCAAGAAATAATTATTTCGTACACACTTGCCTAGATGCCTTCCTGGTCTTCACGCACAAATCACTCTCTCCCACGGCCGCCTATGCTTACGTTTTTTTTTTTGAGAAAAGCCTATGCTTACGTAGTACTTCCTTCGTCCGAAAATACTTGTCATAGAAATGGATAAAATGGATGTATCCATAACTAAAATAAGTCTAGATACAACCATTTCGAGAACAAGTATTTTCGGATGGAGGGAGTACCGGATTAATGAGTTGCGTTGACAGGCCAGGACACATTAATGGCTGGGTTAAATACATCCGGTGGGCCGCTTAACAACATAACGTACGTTACCTGTTACGCGTCGTTCTCTTACTTCTGGTACACATAGGTACAGAACACAAGATAAACGACACGTTACAAAAACACCGTCAAATCCTCGTCTAACGTCCGCACCACCATGCTAAAAAAAACGTCCGCACCACCAACGTCTCTTGCCCATTACGTACGTGCATTAACTCTCCTCACCCGCCACGTACAATACGGCAGGCATCTCGCATCTCCAGGGGATCGAACGCGTGACGATTCCGAGAGCGCGCGAGCTCGTCCGCGCCTGGCAATTTTCGAACAAATGAACCGCTACATTAGCTTGCCGATGAACATGCTTGAACACCACAGAAACAAAGCTTTGAGAAACAAACTTGATGTCTTCAACAACAGTACCAATGCTGGAGCGATCGCAAGATCTCGAATTCATCCTTTGCACCAGCGAAAGGCAACCCGAAACAAAGATAACATCAGAATAACCTTCATCACTAGCTAATTGCACAACTCTACATAATGCCAAAGCCTCTGGTAGTTCAGGCTCAAGTGCAGCACGAAGGGGTTCAAAAACAGAAGCAGTACAGCACCCATCATGGTTTAAAGCTACCACACTAGCTCCAGACTTGTTCAGGTCAGAGAAAACAACAACATCCGAATGAATCAAGACTTTACCTGTCGGCGGTGGAGTCTAGGAAGGATTGACTGAAGTCGACTCACGCCTCTTGACAGGTTCAGAGCTGAAAAGGTGCTTCAAGCTCAAGTCTGAATACGCTCGGATCTTCTCCACTGTAGTGTGAATTGATGGTGCTTCAAGAGAGTGTCGAGCATCATTTCAAGCTTCTCACAAATACCACATAGTAACAGCCAGAACCGTAGCATCGCTATGTGAAGACCTTGATAGAAAATCAAAGAGCCACATCTTGGTGTCTCTGAATTCAGAACGCCGTAACACCATTCTAGTCCAGCTTGAACTCGAGCTACAGGGGATGCACGACATGAGTTGTCGCTGCAGCCCCGGGTTGAGAAAACCACTTGATTGCCTTACATGTTGGGTGTTATTCGTAATTGCAGAGGCGTTGGTAAGGAAGCGATAAGTTTTTATATTCTTTTTTTAGATAAAAATCGTAGAACAATTGTTCTACGGTACATTATATTTATAATTAAAAATTTATGTACAAGCTATCAAAAGACTGCTCCCACTCCAGTTTTTTCTAACATAGAAACAAATTTAAGAAACTGTCTTAGAATAAGGACCCTGATAAGTGTCACACACGTGGCAAAAAACAATTCCGCTCTGACGTTTTTTTGTTAGATAATAACGAGATAAAAGAGACACGAAAGCACACAGATTTTTACGTGAAAACCCTTGTGGGAGAAAACCACGGACGCACGAAGGCGCAATCACTATGAGGAGGAGTATTATAAGCATGAGACGACAGACCGTCTGAGGTGCGACTACATGGGGTATACATGAGAGTCCTTGAAGGACAAGTAAACGAGTTGTACTCGTACGCGTCGACGTCAACGCAAAAGCCCACACCGGTTGTACTACGTCTAGTCCAACATGGTATAATTTGGATCACAATTTAACAATCTCCACCTTGATCCAAATTTCCTCCAGTAGTCGAAGAAAGTGAATAACTCCATCCAAATCAGCATAAACACCTTGTGCGTCAAAGTACATAGGACTAGTGAGAAATACCAACTAAGCCTGAGCAAAGATTAAACTTATTGGTCGGAACTGGCTTTGTCATCATATCAGCTGGATTATCATGAGTATTTATCTTGCATACCTTCAAATCGCCTTCAGCAACAACATCTCGAATATAATGAAATCTGACATCAATGTGCTTTGTCCTCTCATGATACATTGAATTCTTTGTAAGATATATAGCACTTTGACTGTCACTAAATACGGCAGGGCAAGATGAATCTCCACAAAGCTCAGAATACAAACCTCTCAAGCAGATAGCTTCTTTGCATGCCTCAGAAATAGCCATATACTCGGCATCAGTAGTGGAACAAGCCACAATAGATTGCAAAGTTGCTCTCCAACTCACAGCACAACCACCAATGGTGAAAACATAACCTGTGAGTGATCTTCTCTTATCCAAATCACCAGCAAAATCAGAATCAACAAAACCAACAAGTCCATCTCTAGATTTCCCAAACTGTAAATAAGCATTAGAAGTACCACGCAGGTATCTGAAAATTCATTGAACTGCTCTC